GTGCGTCAAGTCGATGTAATCCAAGATTTGATTATTTTTTCTTGTAAAAACAGCCTCATTTAGGCAGATTGTTGAGGCCATAAGCAAATGATGAAAAACAAGATGGCTTCTGTCAGAAAAACATGTGTTATGAGAGAAAGTATGGTATTTTGTCAACACCATCAGATGTCTGATACAAAAGAAAGTGGAAACTATCAGGACAACGTTTTGGCATGCTTATGTACATCTGGATAATGACACAAACTAGTGTGTGGTGCTTCAGTTTTTAATAAACTAAAAGACAGAAATCAGATTATAGGATCTGTGGTGTTGTTTATTTATATTATGGTTCTTATCATTTGTGATATTTATTACTCTGTGCATACTTTATTAGGAGAGATGAGATATAAAAAAAAAGCTCTTCCTTGCTGGTTACATTGAAGAAGAAGCTCAACTATGTAGCACGTACGTAATCAAATTCAACAACACAGTGTGATGGGGAAATCAGCTGTGTTTTTCTGCCCATTTTATTTCGAATCTGGCACACACCAGAAAACCAGTTCCTGAATCAGTCACGTGATACGGACTGCCCGCGAGGCCTCGAGCGTCACTGCATACGTAATCAAAGCGTGCCTCGATACGTGCTTCACAAAAACAACCTGAGATTACCCGACACGCTTCGGAGCTTCGACACACACGACACATCATTAGGCTTCAGTGATCAATTACTGTAATAATTATCATGTCATGCATGATAATTATTACAGCAAAGCCTAAAAAGCATCAAATGTCTGAACTCATGTCAGGTTTAAATTGACTGACCCTGATTTGTTGCACTGCTCAGCAGTGACATCACAACTTAATTGAAATGCCACTGAGGTTAGTTTGAGTTTGACATTCAACAACAGCAGAGAAAACAGAAAAGCACCAGACTGTGGAGAACACAGACGTTATGGGTTTGGTTGAGTTACAGACTGATGAGTGGAGAAAGTAGGAAACAGCTTATTCTTCTATATCTTACACAGAGTGCTGTAAATCTGTTAATACCACCAGTGACACAAAGTAAAGTTGTACATGTACTTGAGTACTTATAGAGTATAATTCATACTGTATGTTTGAACCGTATTGATGTTTTTTTTTTTTTTTTGGTAGTTTTCTATTTCTACTCTACTGTATTTTGAATTCAAACATTGTACTCCCTGACATTTATTTAATTACTATGTAATGCTACATTATTATAGATAAAGTGACTCAGCAGTATATAAGTTGTTCCAACCATCTAAAGCTGCAACATTAAAATAAAACCGACATAAATCAATAATTACGATCCTGTATCATCCATATGATTTTGGAGAGTAAGTTCTGTTAGTATTTCTTTAGGTATAATACTTTTGTATGATTACTATATTCTCTGCACTTATAATCCTGGTTGCGCTTACTGACCTCAAACCGATTTTACGTGGTACACAGTGCTCAAAACCTATCAAAAAATGTTTTAGTATGACTTTGGTAAGCTACGAAGATGGATTGCGGGAGCATTACGATTACCGCAGTCAGGAGGCTCGCAGAGTAAACTGGGTCCAAAACTCAGTCTGCTTCAGGTCCCAAAGTCAAACAAACACTGCAACATCACTGAGAGTTAAAAACCATCTCAATTGGATGAATGCTAACTCTTTTCCACCTGATAAAAGTTAAAGTGAGGGTTTCTGGTGGTTAGAGACAAATGCAATCGCATGGCAGGATGCTGTAAATGGACCAAACTTCAGTCAGGAGAACAACTGAGATCCACAATACCAGGTTAGTCATTAATATACTGCAACAACATGGGAATAAAGCAGCTGTGAGAGAATTCAACATGAATGAATCAATGGTACGGAAGTGGAGGAAGCAAGAAGAATGAATTGAGTAAACTTTGACTTATCTGACTGTTTTGTTTTGCTTAATGTGCCTTATGGTTTGAAAAATATGGTATTCAAGCAGAATTCTGACTTTACCAGTCATATAACATCACCTTGTAAAACAGTTATTTCACGCTGTTTAAACTTCTGTGCAGCTATCTGTATAGTCAAAGGAGCTTGCAAAGAAAAGCGTCTGGACTTCTTTAAGTTGCTTGAAGACGTTTCACCTCTCATCCGAGAAGCTTCTTTAGTTCTAAGGTCAAATGGTGGAGAGTCCCAGATATAAACCTAGTGGGAGTGACCCCCCACAGAG